AAATTCGTACCGAGGAAAATCATGTTATTTGCCTATTGACCAAACTCCTGAACCCAGGAAGTGAAAAAAACCCAAGATTTAAACCAGGGCTTTCCGAGAAGGAATCTGGTGCTCCTCTCACTTTTCCAACTTTTTTTAAACCTTCTTTACAATATTCTAAGTATCTCTTTATAGTTCTTTTTTCCTTTACAGCTTTATTGAGGTATAATTCACATACTACACAAGTCACCCATTTAAAGCATATGATCCAATGCCTTTCACTATATTCGGAGTGGTACAACTATCGCCACAACACATTTTAGAATATTTTCATTATCCCCCCCAAAACTCCACACCCCTGAGTTGTCACCCTCACCCCACTACCCTCACCCCACCTCCATCCCCACCCAGCCCCTGCAAACACTAACCTACTTTCTATCTCTGATTTGCCTATTTTGGACATTTCATATAAATAGAATAATACACTGTGCTAGCAGTTTTTCGTATAAACAGTGCATATATACTTAACATTCAATTTATAAATTACCAGATAAAATTTTACAAGTTGTACTTTAAATTAGAGTCAAATGTATTTGAATTTAGTGGAACCATTCAAAGAACTATCAAAGAAAACACAGAGCGGAAGATTGTACGAGGAGATTTTGGTGGGAAATGGTTGTGTGGGGGCGTGCAGGCCTGCAGACTGTTCCAGCCTGTGGAAGGCAGGATGGGGACACTGACGTGGCTTGGGGGGTCACACCCAAAAGTCAGAACAAACTTCTCTGGGACAGGGTTACCGTGTATCCTCACCAACCTGGGGGAAAGACTTTCTGAAGTTCTTTTGGAAAGGAAAGCATTTACTCTCTCTTTCTGAGGATGCATGTCATCTTTCCAGTGCACTGAATCACCCAGAAAGAGGAAAAATATCCTTTTACAGCTGTTCTCAGGGGGCAGTGAATAAGCAGTTTGCATTTCACAAACCACTGGCTTCTGTCTTTCAAACACACAAGCACGGGGGCACATCTATATACCACGGTGATTAAAAAACACGCCCACATCGTCAGTAAAACACACTTGCTTTGGTAGCAATAGACAGCCACACTGGTCTAGAAGATAAAAATACTTTTCTTACTAAAAAGATTTGTTTCACATTTCTTGGTCAACACATAAACTGCATTACACCCCATTGCCCTATGAGCACTGAAATTGAATTAAAAAATATTTGGGGAAAATTTCTCAAACAAAAAGAAAAAAAAATTGCTTGGGTATTTCTTTGGGATATTTGCTCCTGAGGTGGGTCTCAGGGGCTGTGTTCTATGAACATTATAACATGAGTAAAGGTAAGTTCATTAAAAAGAGTGAGATCAATGGAAATTTTTTTGTGTTGATGTCATGTATAGCCTGACCTGCTCCACTTTCTAAGAACTCTTCAAAAAGCTTAATTTAACTCTTTATAGGACACACATTACACAGTGAACATGTTTGTTTTTTTAAATCACATTCTGATCTGTAGAGTTTACCAAAGTACAGCTCTTGGAAATGAGAACCGAAAGTGGGAGAAAATGTGGCATGAAGACATAGACACTGGTCTAAAATCTCTATTTCTCCACAATCTTTTGATACATCCATCAAGTGCTTTTTGGTGTAATACATTTACTTGGCACCAGCCAACTTCCTGCTCAGCGCCCACCCTTGCAGTTCCGAGTATCTTAACCTGGACGGATGAGGGCAGCAGGGAGGGAGGGTAGGCTTTTTCTTCATCGGGCAGCATGTGTCACTCTGAGTGGTGTGTGTGTGTGTGTTTCCAGGTGGTCGGGGGGCTTTCTGAGAATGAGACTTGGACTGGTGGCGATCCTTCCTGCGGGGTAATTTTCATCAGCATTAACCATGCTCTAGAAGGCCTCATCTTTAAAAAGAAAATGTTTGTGACCGCACGTGTCCTCTAGGAAATGTTCCTTTCACAGCCAGGCCTCTGAGAAGACTTACCTCCTCACTGCCTCTCCTAGTCACCCTTTAACCCGTTCCACCTGGCTCTGGTGCCCACCACTCCCCTCGGAGTGGTCAAGGTCGCCATGTTGCCTAATCCCATGTAGGCAAACTTTAGGAAATGTTGCGATCTTTATTTTATTAACCTCTTTGGCCTCTCACCCTATGAAAGTCACTAGCGTTCCATGCCCAAAGGATGGAAGCTGACATCTNACACACACACGTGTGTGTGTGTGTGTGTGTGTGTGTGTGTGTGTGTTTTAGTAATGGTATGAATGAGTGGGTGAAGAGGTATAATTTTAGCTTTAAAATTATTTGTTACTTTGGCTAACATCACTAAATTGCAAAAATAAATATTTTATGTGATTTTGCTGGTGTTTTTATTTCAAACAAAATACAAAAAAATAGCTAAAAGAGAAAAAAAAAATATCCATGGAGGGCTTACGAATGTGCCACGTATAGGTTTAATGACAGCGTAATTGGAAACTTTACTTATAAGCCTAACAAAAAGAATAGGCTGGTGATCCATAAATGTGCCCTTCCAGTTTCGCTAGTCCTATATCTGCTAATCAACATGCTTCCCCAAATTAAGATATCACTTAATAATAATGTAAGTGGCCAGAAGAACATCATCAAAAGCAACTGTAAAAGTACCGCCTAGATTTAACCAGTCATCTCCACAACCTGGCAAACAAGCAACAATTCGAACTGTCTTATTTGTCCCATCACTACTAGGAATAACTATTCAACCCATTAAGGGAAAAACTGGAAATATTCTGAAATTGGAACAAATAGGAACTAAGAAGGTAAATGAGCATTTGAGGTGCTTTCAACATGTGACACTGAGCCTTCTCTCTTCTTGGCTAGAAGAGAATTTGGTGATGCAAAGGAAGTGGTTTCATATAAGATGTGAACGAAAAGTAAAAATATCCTGTTATTTGATCTATGACATTCATGTATTAGAAATACTGATAAATAGTTTCACCTTTCCCCTGGATATTGGCACATTGACCCAGTTACAAGCAATCTCTGATCTTTGGGTTCATACAAGGTAAGACACAATTTGAAATAGGCTAGTCACAAAAAATTCTTCCTTTGCTTTGGGAAATGTATTTGTGAGAAATTTGATAGATTACATTGTAGTTTTTATAGTTGCTCAAATGCATATTTAAGGCCACAGAAAATTCTGACATTCAAAACACATTGATAGTATTTATATTGAGCCGAACAGGCAAAGCATGTAAAACAGGCAAAAGTATGGCCGTTTAGGGCAGTCATACCTCACTCTCTTTAATCAAAAGTATATAAACCATTCTTAGATGGCATTTTCTATACAGCTTCAGAGAATCTACTGCCCTCAATTTTCTTATTGAAATTGGGAAGGCCAACTTATTGTCAATTGTACTTCAAGTCTCTTTGTGTTACCAAAACATCCCTTCTAATAACACAGGGGAAAAGAAAATGTGTCAAAATAGAGGCAGAAAACAAAAAACTGACAAAGAAAAAGCCTACCCTGAGCACATATTGAAAGAAAATCTCGACAGAATGACAGTCAAAAACCACATGGAAAAGTAGTCCAGTGAAGATAAAAGCACAGTAAATAATATCAAAATAAGGAATCAAAGTGAGGAACAGCTTAAGGTATTTTGATAAAAGAAAAATAAAACAAGCAAGGATGTCCCAGGGGAGTAGGAACAAAGCACTCATAAACGTTTTTAAAGAAAGTAAATGGGAGATTTTCTAAAGAAGAAATAGGAAAAGGAAAAATGAACTGTTGTAATTTGTTACATCTTCTAATTCTGAGGGAAAATTTCTTAAGTTATGCTGCAGAGAAGAGGCATTTCTGAGGGAGAATTGGAAGATAGAGAAGAAGCTGAGGAAAACAGACTACAACCGGGCAAAAAAGGATTTAGTTAGAATGAGTGGGCCTCTGAGTCAGCCCCTCAGAATTCCTCTTCTAAATGGTTAGGGGACAGAATAATGGTTACTACATATAATAAGGCAAAAAATTAGAAATAATTATATTAAATCCAAAATCAAAAAGAAACAAACAAGCAAAGAAAGGTAGACAAAAGTTAGGGTTCACGTCTCCCCAAGGAGCTGTTTTCAGGTACTTTTTCAACTTTAAGAGCATGTTTGAATACAAAGCAGTTAACTAAATAGCTGCATGTTGGTCCAATTTAGACAATCTAATTTCATGGCTTTTCTAAAAGAATTGCTACCAAAAACCCTTGGTAGTAGGCTTCAGGCATTCCATCCAAAGTATCCTGATTCTTTCAGTCATGTGACCCATTGCTACTGCAGTCCCATCAACTGTCACACAGAACACTCCCTCCAATCATGCCTGACACCCACAAAACCAACCCGACGAAATTCGTCCTTTAAGAAAGAAAAAATAAACAAATGGGACTACATCAAATTCAAAAGGGGAAGAAAACCATCAATAAATTGAAAAGACAACCTACAGAATGGGAGAAGATATTCACCAATGATACATCCGATAAGGGGTGAATATCCAAAATATGTAAGGAATTCATATAACTTAACACCAGAAAAAACAAATAATCCAATTAAAAAATGGGCAGAGAACCTGATTAGACATTTCTCCAAGAAAACAAACGATGGCCAACAGACACATGAAATGACGGTCAACCTCATGAATCATCAGAGAAAGGCAAATGAAAACCACAGTGAGATACCACCTCACACCTGTCAGAATGACCATCATCAATAAATCAACAAACAACAAGTGCTGGTGAGGTTGTGGGGAAAAGGGAACCCTCATACACTGTTGGTGGGATTGCAAATTGGTGCAGCCATTATGGAAAACAGTATGGAGTTTCCGCTAAAAAAAATAAAAAGAGAACTACTATATGATCCAGCAATTCCACTTCTAGGTATTTATCTGAAGAATTCCAAAACACTAATTCAAAAAGATGTATACACCCCTGTGTTCATTGCAACATTGTTTACAATAGCCAAGATATGGAAGGAACCTAAGNGGACAGGGAATATCCGTGGCCTTAAGAGGGAACATGGCTAAGGATCCCTGGGCCACTGTCTGCAGTAACAAGCAGCACAGCGACCTTCAGACAGATCCTTTGCCTCAGATTTTATCTCATAGAAAAATCAAGACCAGTATTTGTTGCAGGCTCTGCTTTTTTTTTTTTACAATTCCCTCCAAAATGCCAGATACCCGTCACCATCACAGAAAAGGTTATTTCTCTTTAATTAATAGTAATGTGTCTTTGTACCAAGCCCAGTACAAAAATGACCTCAGGTTATAGTTCAGATCTAGTTCAGGTCCTATTTATCTCAACTCACCCAAATTTTTATATCTCGAGGTGGAACCATTCAGAAAATGCTTATCACATCAGCTGAAGTGACAGTGTCACAACCAAAGTTTATACCGTTGGAGGTCAAGTAATGGTTTCCAAGTTCTTTTCATACCCAGGGATGAACAAATCAACATCAATACTGATAACACCATTGCCACTGGAGGTCTCTCAGTGCTATATGATGACATGACAATCAATAGCAAACAGATCAAATTTATTCTTCTTTAAGGCTTCATTCACACCCATTACCCTAGTAACATAGAAGTTGTTTAATAGTTCTAATCTATCAGCCCCGTTGGTCATTTAATACATTGCAGTCTGTTAATGGAACTGTTTTCCAGACTAAGCATTTTAATTCACCACCACAGGCTTTGCTTCCAATAAAGCAGCAAGTTTTACTTGGTTGATGCAAAGCCAATAGATTACAAAGTTGCCAGAATTAAACAACAGTGTTGATTAATTTTATTAGTTGAACCACTTTTACCTTCCATTTGTAGCTCACGGAGACCTCCTGGACAACTATGTGGCTACGCAGGGGGCGTCGCTGTTTACTTTGAGTAAGAAGCGGCTGGAGGCAGGAAGTATAGCAGATTGTGCGGCAAAATGTGAGGAAGAAACAGAATTCACTTGCAGGTACTTTCGCCGTGGTTGCACCTACGCAGAAATCTTCCTGCTATTTGAGACACTATTATTTCAATATCAAGAAACTTGCTCATGGATTTATTAACAAAAACAGGATTTAAGAGGATAGAAGAATTTCATGGGATTAGAGTTTCGAACCTGTATTTGCTCCCTGTATCTGAAACCATACGAACAGTTTCTTGTTACAGTTTATTAGCATTCCCATTAGAAAAAAAAAAATGCCCCAACAGGAACTTATGTATTTTTACATATGACATGAGCAGCCATGATTCTGAGCTCTAGCTTTTAACATCACCACTAAATATTTATTGAGGATCATGTGACTGGAAGTGTCCTCGACCCTAAGGAGCAAAGAAGCATCGATACAATGACCCAGCATATACGATAAACAGCAGTGTCTGTGTTAAAGCTTTGTATAGCTACGAGATTCATAGCTTGCCCTGTGTATTTATGGTGCAGTCACAGAATTTGGATAAAATGTACAATTAAAAAAAAAAATACAGCCAATGTGAGGTATCGGTAAGTGACATAATCAATATGTACATAAAGATTCAGAGGAAAGTACAATTCCTAAGAGTTGACATGGCTAGAAAGGCCTCAAGGAAGAGGTGAGAGCTGAGCTGCACTTTGAAGGGTGAGTGAGAGCTTGGTAAATACTGAAAAAGCTGGAGGCATTCTAGGTAGAGGGTGTGGCACAGCAGGGTGCCTGAGAGACGGCCCATGAATGGACCAAGGTGGCCAAATCAAAGGGTTCATGTAGGAGATGGGGCTGGAAAGGTAGCTGTGGGTGGCTTTGAATGTCAGGCTGAACACCCATGGCAGGACCACGTGGACAGTTAAGGAGGTGTGAGGTGGAGTGGGAGGGGGTAGAATGGAGAGGTGTGGGTCAAGGGGAAATTACAAGAGTCCAGAAGCCATAGAGACCATTTTGGGAACAAGTTCAAACAATCACAGTTGCTTATTTCCAACACAAAAGCAAGTGTTCTGGGACTTAAGAACATGAGTGAAGAGTGAAGAAAGATTAGAGACGTTGAAACAGAAAGACAGGAAATTTGGAAGGTGAGAAGGGAGAAAGGTAGCAGAAAGCAAGGGTAACCACCATGTTGATGTGTCATTTGGGCCACACTGAACTGAAAGTAACAGTTCTGAGCTCCTTGATCCTCCAAGAGATACAATTATCTTTAGAGTGTCCCATCAGTAAAAGTTTGCTTTCCTTAAATAAAGGAAAACTTTTGTTGTGTTTTCTGATTCTCTTCTGCAGGTCGGTCCAGTATCACAGCAAAGAGCAACAATGTGTGTTAATGGCTGAAAACAGCAAATCTTCCCCACTCTTCAGGATGACAGACGTGGTTTTATTAGAAAAGAGAAGTGGGTACAATGTTTTCTTCTTCCTCTTTCTCCTGTTCATCTGCTTCTTCTCCTCCCCACCTTCCTCCCCCACCCCCTCTCCTCCCTTCTCCCCTTCCTCGGCTTTTATATCTGTGATTTATTGGACCATGAAACGGCGATACGTGTAGCAAAATCGAATTGGAAGTCAGGATAAGATTTGGCCACTAACCCACTGTGACAACTTGAGTATATTCCTTTACCCTTTACGTTTTCTTTTTCTTGATTTAAAAATGAAGGGATTGGATTCACCAAATATACAAAATTCTATTGTATTTGTAAGGAGGAGGGGGAAGTCTAGCCATTCCTTATGATCTTGACTTTGTTCTGGAGGGACCACGGTCCTTGGGCCTTAGCTTTTGGGCTGAAGCCTAGAGAAATAAAATTACTGAGGTGTTTTAAATCCTTAGTAGCATTTGCATAGAGACAACATTTTAATTTTTATTCTTAAAATTTCCCCTTTTGGGGGGGTGTGTGGGGGGTGTCGGGCCGGGGGGTCCTGGTCTCTATTTCCCTCAGACCCTGAAATGTTATCTTTTGAAAACGGGCTGAGTGGCAGTTCCTTTCCATAGTTTCCTTGAAAATTCTGGGTTCGCTGCCCTGTTGTTTAGGGTAACAGGTGGCCTGGATTCCTGTGGAAATTGCATGGTTTTTTTTTAGATACAAAAGAAGTTCATTAAGTGTGTATGAAGATTTAAGTGAATGTATGACACTTTTAAAACTGCCTCCTAAACTCCGTTGTTGACTAGGTATTAAGATCATTTATAATAACAACCTAGGTCTCCAAATATTCTGTATCACAGGCATTAAAGACAACGAGAAACATGCTATTTCGTGTATTCTTGACAATGACCTGCAACATCCTTTCTAGTTGCACTACAAAACCCTAAGTAAAATTTTAAAACGTATTTCTTTAGGTTAGGATGATTTCTATGCATTGATTCATCTTATGTTTAATTAGCTGTGTGTCTGCTATCCTCCCTTCTTTATCACAGTTTTTTTTTAAATCCTTGCAATTATTAGTTCTTACAAATAGTGAGTGAAAGGTGAGGTACATAGGATTACCTACTATCCACCAGATTAAAAAAAAAAAAAAGGCTGATGGGATATTCCCGGCAAAATGCTAACATTTAAATATGTCATTTGTAAATTGTTAACCAGAAGAGGCATGGGGGTGGGTGCTGGGCTTAGTTTGAATAGTTGAATAGTTGCCTGTTTTCCAGGTGATGGAAAGGAGCAAAAGGTTATATAAACTCTGGCAGGTACATACAAACAAAAGAGAGGTAAAAAGTCAAAAGTCAGGCATTTGGGGGTGCTTGTTTCTTTACTGTGGAATATTGACCTGCTGCTAAATTACCTGCCAGCGTTTTCCTGGTAACAGTCAGTGTCAGATCACATTTATATCTGCCACTTGCCACCATGGCCACTGCCACCATCTGAGTCTAAACCGCTGTTACCCGTGGCCAGGCCACTGCAGCAGATGGTCTGTAATGTCTGTGCTTCAAACCCTTAGAAGAAAATCCAAGTGCGTACCAAATGCTCCAGGGCCAGGTCTATTTAAGCCCTTCCTCACTAAACTGCTCTACACGGGGCTTGTCCCTGATCCTCCAACCTGCCAGGCACAGCCCTCTCCCCGCTCTGCCTGGGACCCTCCTCTGTTCTTCCTGTGGTCAGCTAGTTCTCATCTCCCAGGTCACAGCTCAGGCCTCGCCTCCTTTTCAAAGCCTCCCCAGACCCCTGGGCCTCCAAAGTGCCTTGAGTTTACACTTTTGATAAGTGTCATATGCCTACTGTAATAATATATCTCAGTGAAGATATACTTACAATCTTTATACATACGGGTGGGTTGACAAGCATGAGTTTACTGTAGGGGGTGTTAGAAATGCTTGCCCCAGATAACGGATCAATTAATTAAAAAGTAATTGATCATAAAGTGGGGGATCATAAAAGTTGACACAAATATACCTTACGTGTTTTAGATTTTCATAGAAAACACAAGTTTACATCGGCACTTTTGGATGTAGACAGAGGCCTGGAATACGGGGCCTCCACCAGGAGTTACCTGGTGCATTCCTAGCATGAACTGTGCTCTAAGTGCATTGTCTACTACCATCAGCCTCCTTGTCTTTCACATGGAACAAGGTCTAGAGACATCTATTAATCAATCCGACTGTAAAATACCTGTACATTTTTATCATCCCCCGAAACTCATATAGTCAACTCTACGAGTGGATTGCCCTCTGTAGATTTGACAGCAATTTTTAAAACAATTCTTTCTAGTCCTAAAGTCCTATAACCATTCAACTTGGTTTAAAAAAGCTTTTTTTTTCTCACATTTATTTTTCAGTTGATAATAATTGTATGGTGCCAGGTCAGTTTAGGTAACCTTTAGTCAAATATAGCTGTATAAAAGTTTGACAATACAGACGACACTTGGTGAGCATATAACACAGCCGGTGGGAATGGAAGTGGGCAGCACCCTGGAAAATGGCCTGCTAGCCACAGGTCCCCATCCGGAAACATGCGGGACACAGGTGGGCACTGACAGTGTTTTAAAGACAGCATGGAGCCCACCGGCTAACCTGTGAGTTGGTTAAGTGGTGGCTGTTGACAGCATGTCCCGTAAACGTTTAAAGTCAACCACAATTGTAGAACCCCGTTTGGCACTTTTTCATATTTAAGATACCGGGAGCCTCAAAAAATGAAGTGGTTTGGATCTCCTCCAGCCTCTGCAAAGCCTGTATTCCCGTTCCCTTTGCTCTCTCATCACATTTTTTATTTTCTCTGTCACACATGCCACCCTGAGGCTAGCTGGCTCTTTCGTAATCTGTGTCCTTGACAACTTTCTGTCACTGGCCCCCCTGACTGCACTAGAATGGAAGCTCCAGGCCGGGTGCGGGGCGGGGAGGGGGGCTTCTCCTTTTCGATGCCCCATGTGTCCCCAGCACCTAGCATGGTCCTGATAAATGTATCAAAGCATGAAACAGCTTCATTAGCTACAACTCTTCCATCGATGTCAAAGGCTATCTGTTTAGATGGTAGGAGAAAGGTGTCATCTGCTGCCCAAGTCCCTGCTTTCGAGGTGGCTGAGCAGGGCAGCAGCTTCGTATTGCTTGCTGTGAGGTGTCTGACCGCTATGTGCACTTTGTTTCAGTGTATCTTTTGGAGTGCCGGACTGGAAATGGAAAGAACTACAGAGGGACAGTCTCCAAAACGAAAACCGGGACTACCTGTCAAAAATGGAGTGACACCTCTCCACACGTGCCTAAGTAAGACTTTCTCTTTTATGGCTGCATTCACCTATTATACTTAGAGTGATTGCATTGCTTCTAAACCAAACCAGAACATGCGACTAAGCCGGTACAGAGAGAACCTCATCGCTGTTGATATATAATGGCTGAATTAGTTATAGCATAAAAGCAGGAAATGGCTGCTTCTCATTCACTCTCGTGTATATACTTTTCCGGGAGACCTAGAACATAGAAGGATGCCTAGTAAGAAAGAACGGTGAAGCCATGAATTCTAGGCTGAGTCTGAGAAAAGACCAAAGATGATCATGTTGAGGACTGAATTAGCTTAAATCAAACATACCATATTAGAACTCTCACCACGTGTTCGCCTCCACATTGTTGGAGCAGAAGAGTAAGTAAAATATACATGAAAAACAGATTATCTCATAGTTTGCCTACTACTTATTTTGTCACTTTTTGCGCTTTCCCCAATATGGCATTAGGTGGAGTTAAGTTCTCAGTAACAATGCTTATCAAGTAGGATTTAGTGCCATTACTGTCTTTTCACACACCCCAACCCCTTCGCCAAATTGCCTCTATTGCATCCCATGAGGTGGACAGCAGGTCTAGTAGTACTCCCAGGACGTTAGGCTTGCAGAGGTGAAACAATTGAACCAATGGCCAAATCCTAGACTGCTGGGGGGGGGAGGGGCCTTGGAGATAATCTAGTCCATCTCGACCCCAACAGATGAAGAAACTGAGGTTTCATTTACCGAAAACAGGGACATAGAAGTATCAGAAAAAAATGCCTGCCTTTTTAGACTCCAAATCTTGGGCTTTTGATCTAATTTGTTATCTCTACACAGCAGCTCATTTCTAGGTCTGAAAATGAGCTTAACTCCCCCCCCCCAACTCCCCCATTAAATCCAGCTGCATTTCAGAGAGAACATGGCATTTGGAACCAGACAGATCTGACTTAAATTCCTGAGATGCTACTTATTCATCGTTCCAACTTAGGCAAGATTTGTTTCGTTTTACACCGCTGTGCCTCAGTTTCCTCATCTGTAAAATTGGGATAATAACACATTTCTGATAGGGTTTTTTTTTAAGACTGAATGAGAGAATGTATAGCAAGATTTTAGTGTAACTCTGGCGCATAGTTCACACAGGCAAAATTTTGTTAACTAATGCTATATTTACAGAGAGGGGGTAACTGGCAAAAGCAGGCGTTTGGAATGAATTAGGAATACGGCAGGTTCTGGAGGCCTTTCTGTTTCTACTGACTGTGCATAGAAACACTTTGGCTCTACTGCTAAGACGTGCCTGTCAATATAGTAATAATGGCAATATCAGCTACTGTATTGAAACAGCCCATCAGCAGAGAAATTGAAAATTGGACAAACTACATGCTACACACAGCACACAGCCAAAATGTGTTTGGATGGCAGAACCATGAACTTCCGATGGGAAATAGAGAACATCTTATTCCTCATTGCTGATAGGATGCTGATTTTAAAAACTGAGTCCAAGTGATCTTTTTCCATCCTCCACAGGTACTCGCCTGCTTCGCACCCGTCAGCAGGGCTGGAGGAGAACTACTGCAGGAACCCCGACAATGATGAGAAGGGGCCCTGGTGTTACACCACAGACCCTAAACTCAGATTTGACTACTGTAGCATCCATGAGTGTGAAGGTGAGGAGCAGCTTGAGAAACTGCTTCCAGATCTGCCTTCGTCTTGACAGTAATTTGCTGTAAAGCGATTTCCTGCAGGGATATTATGAGTAACCAATTAGTGCCACGTTTGTCAAAATTGAGTGATGTATGTATCTCTTGGAAAGGATCGAAATTTGCTCAGACTCCCATTATTGATTTGAACTATTTTTATTAAAACATCACTTCAATGGATACAAATATAAAACTACGTGGCAACTCTAGACACAAACTTCCTAGGCTTGAAGCTCGGCACAGTATAAAGACGAAAACAGATTGGCAATAAAATAGTTGAAATAAAACCACAAAATCAATATAACTCAAATAAACCCTATTTATTTAATATGGGTAGACTTTGTAGTTTCGTTGAAGCTAAGCCATGAACCAGGTTTTAAACCAGCAATCCGTTATTTTAATGGACCAGCTAATTTAATAACACCCCCCAAGAGCCAATGCTAAACCTTCAAAACATCCTATTGAAAATATGTTCTACATTTTATATTTCCTGCTCCATTTATTGGTGCAAGTAGGGGATGGATAATGGTGGGATTTGTGTAGCAATGTGGTTAGTGTGTGCACCGTGTGACAGCTTGGCTCACTCGTCACTTTATCTATTTCAACCATGGGACCCTTTATTTATATACTATGTTATGAGGTTATTTGGCCCTTAATTGACATGAATGCATCATTTTTGTATCAAGTTTGCCTCTTCTTTTGTCATTACCCCATAAAACTTAAAGTCATAAATTACCCTCCTGTACCATGTTATTTCAATAATGCCAAATCAAAGTTTCTGTTTTTAAATAATGTAAGAAAGCAAAGAACAGCCAGCCATGCTTCCCAAGTACATAAAAAGAGAAGAGCTGTCGCTTTAGGTGAATATTGTTCCCCAGTAAGGTCATGAGCACAAATAGAACCCAGCACGGAAGTCCTGGGAGGGGGTCAGCTTATTTGTGAGTCCTAACACAACCAGGATCATTTCATAGACATTTTTAAAGATCATTATTGAAACAAAGACACCAAATATTTAAAAATCCTAGTAGGGAACTTACAGACTTCTGAGAATATGTGCACACTCCCCCATGCTGTCCCACCTACCAAGGACCAGTGCATCCCATTATGGAATTTCTGGATTTGGTTATAACTCTAATAGCTGAGGGGGTGTTGACCAAAATATGCTCATTTTACCACTGGAAGGAGAGAATGATGTTTTAGGTTGTATTAGAAAATTGAGCCTTTATTGCCAATTTTATTGTCAAGCGATCATTGGAAAGTGCCTATGAACGAGTGGCAAATGGCCAATGAGACATTTCTAGTGGGGCTCTAGTTCCCCCTCTTTCCTGCGTCACTCATTTCAGCTTCTGTTTCCCTTCTTGTCCGTGCTCTCTAGAAGAATGTATGCATTGCAGTGGGGAGAACTACGAGGGCAGAATTTCCAAAACCATGTCTGGTCTTGAATGCCAGCCCTGGAACTCCCAGAGCCCGCACAGTCACGGATACATCCCTTCCAAGTAAGTCACGCGGGGAAAGACATTCGATGCTTACGGGTCTGCAGCTCCATGGGAGTGTCTCATGTCATTTAAATACTTTCGCATCCCTCAAAAAGTGAACATATCTGATGCTTTTGAAATTTTAAGTTTGCATCTTTCCACATGACTGCAAGTGAAGTGTGCACCCTTGCTTCTCAAAAGGGGGTCCATGAAAGAGTGATAGCACCTAAGTGGTGGTGAAAAATGCCCAGTCTCAGACTCCCTGAATCTGAATTTGCATTCTAACCAGAAATACAGACAGATCTTACTTGTGTGTTTTCCAAATATTTCCCTCTGCTTTTTATTCTTTTTCTTCTCCTTGATACCGATGAGATTCAAGGCTTCCTAACCTATGATCTATGGTTGGGGTTTTGGTGTTTTGTGAATCCCTTAATGTTTTATGTGTATTTATATCAATGCATTTTTCTGGGGCGAGAATTCCTAACTTTCACCAGATTCTCAAAGGGGATCATGAATTGATAGTAGGAATAAGCGTCCCTGAATACTCTTATTCTAGAAAACCTTATTCTATTTCACATTGATCGTACCAGAAAGCAACTCCCTTTTTGTAGCTGCTTCTATCTTGCTGTTCATTCCATGACCACCATAGGATGATAGCAGCACCTATCAAAACCTTGTAAGAAATGAAACGAAGCCACAGGTTTCTCTGGGAAAAACAGCACCATGGAATTTTTGTACCTCACATTCCAAATAGTTAACTTAAAACCCAGCTGTTGCCATTTTCCATTAAAGAAGAAATACAGGAAGGGCCTCAAGGCCCACAACTGGGTAAAAATTCACTTCCAGGGAATAAGAGGATCGCTTAAGCTGCTGCCGTTCGCTTAGTCCACCCTGAGTAAGTGTTTACAGTTTCAGAGAGGGACGTGAACAAAACCCGGAGGGCCACAAGCACGGCGTGCGTCTCCCTGACTTACCCTGCTGAGGGGGGCTCGCTGGCCTGTACCACTGGGTTAGGTGCTCACGGAGACACCGCTGGTCCCTTGGCGCTTCTGCAAGCTCAAAGGCTAGCAGGACCAGAAGATGGCGCCTCCTAGGCTGTAGAGTGTGAGATGACCACCTGTACTGCGAGTGCCTTCTGTTTTAAAAATTGCTATTTGCAGCTGAATAACTGGAATTTGCTTGCATCCACTTTCCAGATGGCCAAAGTGATAAAGTTACTAATCCTGTTCGGTTAGAAAAATAGTCCTTAGACTACTGAGCTAATCTTTCTTATGAGATTGTCATCTTTTGGAGGACAGCCTTCATCCAGTTACCTCTTTGGGTGCTTGATTGTGGCTAGCACACAGCAGGCACTCCATATTTGCTCATTTGAAAGGATTATCACCCATAAAGGTAAATGTTCAGTGCCATTAAAATCCTTCTTGCCCATTCAGATTACCAAGCAAGAACTTGAAGATGAATTACTGTCGTAACCCTGATGGGGAGCCCCGCCCATGGTGTTTCACCAAGGACCCCAACAAACGCTGGGAGTTCTGTAACATCCCACGCTGTTGTAAGTATGGCTCCTATCCAGTCCTCAGGGGTCCTCACCCATTCTGCTCTTGGAATCAAGAAAAAAGCATGTATCTGTGCCTGAGTGCTGTGCTTAAAAAGTGCCCTGCGAATGTGGTGGGATTTGGTTGCTCTTTTAAAACAATCTATTGATTATGGTAGATAATTGTCAGAGCATCCATTGATCATGGTTTTTTGGGGTTTTTTTGGCTTCCCATCAGAGGCAACTGAATGGGGGCTCTTGAAGGAAGTAGCTCTGATATGGTACTTTTTTTCTAGTGCTTAAGGGAAATCAGACCCGTGCTTTCTGTACACCGATTTCATTATGAACCAGAGTTCTTTCTGATGGTTGCTTGGTAAACAAGAAGTGTCTCTAGATGTCCAGTTTTCAGTATGCCCACTCTAGAGGGCGCAGTGGAAGAAGAGAGTTCAGGGGCAGAAGATGAAATGGCAGACTTAGCAAGAATGACTTGAAAGAAACAATTTTATAATATTTTTCTTCTATGAGAACTTGAAGCAAGGGATTAAATGTTTAGACAAGGACAGTCATCAAAAGTTTAAAAGGACTCAGCAGGTTTCCTGTCCTTTGGGCGGATAATCATCCTTTGGACACTGAAGTTCCTCAGGTACTCTCTTTCCTTCTGAACATCAGTTTCTCCTTTTGTCATTTTGTTTTTTCCCTCAAGAGTGATTTCTAGATGTACATGCTTTTCCTTGGAAACATTTTTTTTTTACCTTCTTTCTATGGAGTCTCGGTTGGCTTTACGGAATATTGGGTGTCATTGAGTTGTGTTTACTCAGTGAATAATTTATTCTTCACAAAGGAAGTTGGATCACTGGTGTATGCAAGGGTTCAGGGCAGGGGAGACACATGTTGATCCTTACCATGTATGACAAACTGAGCAAAGAGAATAGAGAAGAAGCATGTACTCCAAGGGTCTTGTCCTTGGAGTTCCTCATGACAGGGTGTCACAGACATTGGTTCAACCAAGTCAACTTCTTTTAAAAATGATAAACAATTTTCAAACGCCAAATTCCAAGAGAGGAGGAACAGAAAAGAAGACAGGTCGATGCTGCCTGCATCCATCCCCCCACAATACATCTGTGCATTTTTTATTTTTAAAATATTCATTGTAATTTATTATTCCCATTCAAGCAACACCCCCACCAACTTCTGGCCCCACATATCAGTGTCTGAAGGGTACAGGTGAAAACTATGTAGGAAATGTGGCCGTCACTGTCTCCGGAAATACTTGTCAGCGCTGGAGTGAACAGACCCCTCACAAGCACAACAGGACCCCAGAAAACTTCCCCTGCAAGTAAGTCTGTCTCTGGGCTCCTCTCCTATTGGCTGAATGGACTGTGAATCCCACTGACTTTGCTTAGTGTGAGTCACCATAGAAACCCAAAGGTAAAATATTCTGGAATGAGAGCTGTTCAAGTCAAATGCAAGCGAAGTGAAAGTCAGCACCCATTTTCCTGTAACACTGGCTCTCAAAGTGTGGTTCCCCCGACCAGCAGCATCAGGATTTTGTTAGAAATACACATCCTTGGGCCCTACTCCAGACCTACTAAAGCAGAAACTCAGCGGAGTGGGTCCCAGCACTGTGTTTGACAAGCACTCTCCTGACTGCACAGAAAGCTTCCAGAACACTGAAATTCTGGGGCTGTTGCACTTAAATTCCATGGCTACGACGGATAGGGAGGAACAGTGTAGAAAATACCCACTGTGTTTTCAGCATACAGCGCAGTGCCCAACACATAGCAGAAGAGCTATTTTGCTTGACTGTACACAGTCCAGGAATATATTTTAATCATTTACCCCAGAGAAGCATCACTGCCATAAATCTATGGAATCCTATGGAGCCGTGCTCTTGTTTACATTTTGACCTGTTTTTCAGTTTGTGTAATTCTAGAGAATTCACTGGACACATGTCTAGTATCTCTGTTAAAAAACGATTATGCACTGTTATTTATTTACCCTTTTTGGAAAGCCGAACTCACTATCACTTCTTTTTCAGAAATCTGGATGAAAACTACTGCCGTAACCCTGATGGAGAAACGGCTCCATGGTGCTATACAACCAACCCTGAAGTGAGGTGGGAATACTGCCAGATACCATCCTGTGACTCCCCTCCATCCACAGACCATCCGGACACCTCAGGTGAGAAAGGGGACTGAGGGCCCCAGTGTTACGTCAGTGGTGTCACAATGCACAGTAGCTTTGTTTGTAGTTTAATTCTGTTCTAGTCAGAGAACATGTTCTATCATTTCAATTAATTTAAATTTGTGGAAGCTTGTTTTGTTCAGGATATGGTCATCTTGGTGAACGATTCATGTCCTCTTGAAAAGAACATGGCTTCCTTCTGCTGTTGTTGGGTAGAGTGTTCTATAAATGCCAATTAGGTCAAGTTTATTAGTGTTGTTTAGCTCTTCTGAATCCTTACTAATCTTCTACCTCCTGTTCTATCAATTGTTTGAGATGAATGGTGATGTCTCCTGCTTTAGCTGCACATTTGTGATTTCTTTTTGGTTTTTTGTTTGCTCTATATATTCTGGAGCTCTTTGTCAGACAGGTATATTTAGGATTGTCCATTTAGGATTGACCCTTTTAGCCTTATGTAATGTCTCTCCTTATCTCTGGAACTACTCCTTGTTCTGAAGTCTACTTATGCTGATAGGTAGACAGCTATCGCAGCTCTATTTTTACTAGTGTTTGTATAATCTTTTTTCTAGCCTTTTAATTGAGATGTTTAGACCGTTTGCAATTAATGCAATTGTTAATATGGTTGGATTTAAATCTACCACCAAGTTAGCTATTTCCACTTGTCCTATTAGAATTTTGGTCATTTTTTTCCCATCTTTTTCTGCCATTGCATTAATTGAGTATTCTTCAATTGTCTTTTATCACTACTATTTCCTTATTAGTTTAACCAGTTTTTAATGTTTTAGTTATTTTTTCTGTTTAGAATATACATCTTTAACTTACCACATTCCACCTTCAAATAATATTATTTTACTAGATGTATAATGTAAGAACCTTAAAACATTGTACTTCTATTTCCTCTCTCCCAAAATATTGCTTTTGTTCTCAGAGCTTACGTCTATTATGTTATAAATCTCACAACACATTGATATTATTTTTGCCCTAAACAGCCAGTGATGTTCTAAAGTGATTGTAAATGTAACATATCCTTTATATTTACATGTATTTATTTATTTTTACCATTTCTGGTGCTCTTTATTTGTTTTTATTGATTCCAATTTCCATCCAATGTCATATTTCTTCTGTAAAACACATAACTTTTAACATTTCTTGTAGTACAGGTCTGCTGTTGCTGAGGTATTTCAGCTTTTATATGTCTAAAAATGTCTCTATATTGTCTTCACTCTTAAAAAAGAATCTTTGTTGGGTGTAGAATTCCAGGTGTACAATTTTTTTTCCCTTTCACCAATTTAAAGATGTTACTCCATTATCTTTTGTTTTGAACAGCTTCTGACTGGAAATCTTATCTTTGTTCATCTGTACTTAATACTTCTTTTTTCTTTGGCTGCCTTTAAAGCAAGGGACTAAGATTTTGTCTTATCTTTGACTTTTCAGCAGTTTGGTTACGGTGTGTGTAGGTGTGTTTATCTATTTTTGGTATTTATTTTGCTTGAAGTTCTCTGAGTTCCTTGTATTTGTGGGTTGTTGATTTTCATTACTTTTGTAAAATTCTCAGATATTATTGCTCAAATATTTCTTTTTCCCTGCTCTCTCCATCTCTCATTTCCTTATTTAGACTCCAATTACCCCAATGTTAGACTATTTTATATTGTCTCATCCCTTTTATATCTTGTTTTATTTTTTACTCTTACTTTCCTCAGTGGGTCAGTTTGGATAATATCTATTAACCTATTTTCAAGTTCACCAATTCTTTCCTTAGTTGTGTCTAGTCTGCTGATCACTGAAAGAATATCTGATACCATCTCTGACATATGGTTTTTATTTCTAGCATTTTATTCTAACATTTTATTCTTTTTTATAGTTTTCATTTCTGGTGCAATTCTTCATCTATCCATGCATAGTGTTCACCTTTGCCATAGGATCCTTTAACATAATAATCATAGTTATTTCACAGTCTCAATCTGATAGTTGCCACATCTCTGTCTGTCTATCTCTGAGTTATCACTGAGTCTGGCTTTGTTCACGGCTTTGTCACTCAAGAATGGCTTTTAACCCCTGGCTTTTTTGGTGTGTCTTGTAATTTTTTCTTTTCTCTCTCTCTCTCTCTCTCTCTCTCTCTCTCTCTCTCTCTCTCTCTCTCTTCTTTCTTTCTTTCTTTCTTTCTTTAAATCAAATGTAGGACACTACATGTAAACCAGTAGAGGTTGAAGTAAATATTATTTATACTTTGAAATGGGAATCCTTTTCATTTTGTCAGTATGCTATGTGGGTAATTGAATTAATATAGTTAGTTAACAGATAAACTGAATTTGGGTTTTGTTGTTGCTGCTTTTACCTTAAGTGGACCACAAGCTTCAAATTCCTCTGGTTATAAGCTGTTATTACCTCGTACTTAGAGTCTGAAAAGCCTTCTCAGTATTCCTAATCCATTCTCAGCTTGTAGCAGTCACTGCATGCCTGCACCACAAAGAATCATGCCATACTCTTAACCTAACCCTAGTAATAGACTGATGTTCATTCTTGCAGAATGCTAAGCTTTTGGTGGAGGTAGACATTCTCTGTCCTCCTGGTCTACCTCCAATCTTAGACAAACTCTGTGTACCTGAGCTTTAAAGGTAGTACTTCTCAGTGGTTTTGCCCCTCCTTCCCATGGAGCTAAATTCTAATGTGTATCTGTGTTGGGTCTTGAGTGGAAGAGGAGCACACTTCTGCTTTGTGTTGATTAAGGATCCTGGTCACAAGAGGGTTTCCTGTCCATCCTCTAGGAGAATAAGATTTTTGTCTCTACTTCTCCCTGAGAAGTAATGGATCTTTACCTGCATTCCAGGATGTAGGACCATTTCCTGCCCCATCCCTCAGCAGCTCAAGACTTTGGCTTTGTATAAGCAAAGAGTCTAGGGAAAGAATTCACATCTGCCCCCAATCACAACCAATCCCCATCTGCCGTCTGTACCACTGAATGTGTCTCCCTCTGTCTCCTGCCCAATTACATGAACATCCAATGAAGGGCTTTAAAAAGGAGCTTGCATGTGAGTATACTTCCCATTGATAAGCACTCTGACCTGCTTATTTTTTTCCCCTGAGTTTTAAATTAAATATTTACAAACAAGTTAGGTCATGAAAGTTCTAGAATGTTATGGATCTATTGTTTTCTTTGCATGTCCATCTGCTAATCCATATGCCATAACGTTAATTCCCAGAGACTACCATTCTGTTGGTGTCATATATTGCTTCACATATTTCTCTGTCCTAGTCATTATTCACTGATTTCTTCTATTTTAATTTCAGTACTACCTGAACAGACTCCCGTGGTCCAGGAATGCTACAAGGGCAATGGAGAGAGTTATCGAGGCACATCATCCACGACTATCACAGGAAAGAAATGTCAATCTTGGTCATCTATGACACCACACCGGCATGAAAAGACCCCCCAGAAATTCCCAAATGCGTATGTCTGATTTTTAACCATGAGACAAGCAACAGCAAGCTTCAGTTTCTTTTAGAAGGGCCATGCTTTAAGCTAACTTCTTAGGACCAAACTTTTCTTGTCTCCAGAATGTAAGGCAAAATGTCTCAGACACTTTGTTTTTGAGCAAAAGCTCTGAAAGAAGAGAAGCTTGAGGCTAGCTCTTTCTTGAGTAGTTTTGTGGAAGTGGGTGGTGGGTTGGGGTATAAGGAAGCATCTAGGTCACACTAGTGGAAAGCTCAGGAAGATAAATGACCAAGAGATTAGAAATAATACCATTGCACAACCCCTGCTGAAGATCGGTGCAGTCTGTCAGCTATGGAATTTTATCATTTCAACCTCCAGTCCCTGAAGCGAAGTTTGTGTTTGTCACGGGGTCTCAGTATCTACCACCTGACCTGTCCAGACACATTCGGTCCTGAGCACTAGTGGTCTGAAAGGACACGAGTTGCCAGGACATGAAGAGGAAAAGCAGGAAAGCAGATGAGAGTCAGGAAGTATACAGACGCTGACAGACAAAATGGGCAGGTGGGTGGACAAGGGACCACGTCTGACCAGACCAGCCTCTTCGCTGGAAACGGATAAGCCTTTGAACACATCCAGGTGCTCGGAGACCCGCCGACTGGCTTCCTCAAATTGTGGGTTCAGGCCTGAGATGTGTTTATGGTATCTACAGATATAGTGTTGGATTCTCCTATACATAATACATTTCAAATTTTCTCAGACCACCACAGGCCATGAGCCTACATTATACAGGGATTCCGAGGCTGAGAATTCTCCAAGGCTGGGGCCAGGTTCTGGGGAGGCCCCGGGGTACCAAATCACTCAGTGTTCCCAGGCTCTTCACCCGCTACGTCTCTTACCCAATTTTTTCTGATTCCTCCATAGACCCTCAGCTCCCTCAGGTCCTCTAGTCTACCTGAATGTCTCCCTCCGTCCCTTCCATCTCACTGTTCTTTAGTCTTATCCCTGTTCCCTCAGTCCCTGAGTGGCTGCAGCAAGGGAGGTGAGTTCGAGCAGTGCAGAGTTCCTCCTCATTTCCCCAGAAGGCATCCTGTAGAGATGACATCCTGCCTGGGAGTTAGCTTTTCAGGCAGGCTTCCATAAGTCTTTTTAACCTTGAACCCCCTTGATCTACCTGATGTGCTATCTACATATTATTTTATACTATGTACATATCATATTTTGTATTATTAAGTTGTATTCTTTTCATGTTTTTTTTCATTGTAAATGTACAACTTTTTAACTACATGCTGAGTAAAGACTAAGAGGGATGGCCTGAGAGTGTCATCATCTTGTACGTCATTTCTTCCTTGGGGAAATAACATCTTGGTTCCAACTTACCTAGCCCTATGTATTCATATAGGGCGAGATAGAGATATAGAAATAATTGTATGTGCATAGAAAAAAATCTAAACTATATGTTTCAAAATCCATATTGGTTATCCCTGGATGATGGATTTACTATTCGCAGGGAAAGGAGACATTCTGATACTTTCTTTTACACATTTATATATGATCTCAGTTTTGACATGGAGTGCATGTTACTTTTGATTTTTAAAATAAAAATTATAATCTATTTTTTTAAACTTGCCCAATTGTTTAGAAGTTGAAGACCATCTGTGCTTGTGGAATAATAATAATAATTAGCACCTTTGGTATCTTTAATGGAAATATTCCAAAGTCCCTGGTTAAGACTTGGTTAAAACAGGCTTCAGAGGGTGCCGGGACACCCCTGAGGCTCTCCTATGCTCATGCATCTGTGTTGTGGCATTCACAGCGGCTTGACGATGAACTACTGTAGGAATCCGGATGGTGACAAAAGCCCTTGGTGCTACACCACTGACCCAGAAGTCAGGTGGGAGTTCTGCAACCTTGAAAAATGCTCAGAGACAGGAGAGAGTGCCGTAAACGTTCCGACTGAAACCCAAGTTCCAAGTGTGGAGGCTACTTCGACACAAGGTAAGGTGTTGGTTCAGACATCTATATGCTTGAGCATCGGGATGAAGAGATGGGCAAGCCTACAATGCAGAAGACCATTGCTCCGGGGAGCTGGAGTGCTGGCGAAGTGTCTGCCCTGCGGAAGGAAGCCCCGGCATGTCAT